ATAAAAAAATAAGGACATACGAGCGATGCTGCTGATTATTGCTGCTATGGTTTTAGCAAAATGCAACCGGAGATTTGTTAATAACAAAACATCACGATCCTGAAACAAAGCCACACGTTTTACAGCAAAATATCAAAAAGATAATGCAATTCCTCAAAATATCTACAAAAAAAACTTAATAACTCAAACACAAACAAAAAAAAATAAAAGGAAACTCGAAAAGACAAAAAAAAAGCTCAAAAAAGTAAGACGATGCCAAAAAAAAAACTCAAAAAAAAGTCAAAATCGCATTCCTTCATCAATTTTTATGAAAAGCGGAGAAACATCACGTGCCACATGCAACCATCTGCTGGCTGGGTTATCGATGGCTTCCTCTTTCAAGGATTACATATAAGATTGATGAGAGATTTGAGTTCCAGGCATAAATCAGCGCCATACTACCACCGAAACGAACAAACGAATCGTAGACTTATTAAATAAAATACATGGAAAAAAAAACTTCCTAAAAATTTCTTAGAAAAACTTCTTAAAAAAATTTCAAAAACTCCAACAATGAACTCAATTACGGGAGCCAAAATTTATCAAACCTGATCAGATTCGAGATTCTGTCGCACAGAATCGAAAAAGTCCACAAGAACCGAACAGAGGCCGTTTCCAAAATCGATGCAACCGGAGCATGGCAGAACTCGACGAAACGTTGCAACCTTTAAAAATATCCTGTTAAAAAATCCACAAAAAATAAAAATAAAAATAATATCGTATCTCCAGATATCCCAGAAATATCTCAAAATATCCCAAAAAAATGTCGTATCTCCGGAGAGCATGCGTAAAATATCCCAAAAAAATAACTGACCTGTAGGATGCGTATTATCTGTAGCCGTAAGAGGTCTTTTCGTTTCTTTCTCCGTGTATTGTTATCTGTCTTGCGATCCATCACTTCACGCAAAATTCCTTTCATTTCATCAAGAAGTGCTCTGAAAATTCACGTTAGCACACAGATCCATAGGTACACAAATATATCAGCTAGTAACTCATGCAACAGTAAACAAACTGCGCAAAAGCGGATCAGATGGGATTAAAAAAAAGTGATAAGATTATTACTTAAATCCCCTCTTTTCCGCCTCAAATCACAAGGTATCCAGTTATGCTGGACTTCCTACGATTAGCATGGTTTACTACTTCATAAGTTAAGCTTCGGCCTGCTTATGGCCACAAAAAACCACTTTACAGCTCCAATCTTTTTTCCCCGCAAGGTATGATCAATTTTGGCTGAGCTTCACTACAGTCATGGATTAATCCTCACCTCCATCCTCTTCAATCTCCAAAATTTAGCTGCATAACCCATTTCTTACCCCTCCTATTCATTATCTCACACACACATTTTTGGTCATTCCCTCATCAACAATTTCACTTAATTAGATCCTAGCAAGTTTCATTTCATTTCATTCCATCGCCCTTCTTTTACATTTTATTATTATTATTACTGCTATTACTATCATTATTATTATTATTATTATTATCATTATTATTAGTATTGTTATCATTATCATCATTATTATTATCATTATGATTATCATCATTATTACTATTATTATTATCATTACCATTATTATTATTATTATTATTATTATTATTATTATTATTATTATTATTATT